TTCTCTTGGAAGCGGAAGTAGAGGCGATCTTGGTATCATGAGTGGACACGGCGGAGCGAGGGGAATCGCCTCCGCTGTTTTCCGGCGAAAGCTCGGATTCTTCCAGCTCGGAGACAAATTGGTGGTGGTTGAATCTATTATTATCCATTTACCTAATTGTACACTGATTAAACAACAGTAACGATGATGTCTTCTAGAGAGAGAGAGAGAGAGGAAGAGAGAGAGAGTAAGGAGAGAGAGAGAGAGAGAGAGAGAGGAAGAGAGAGAGAGTAAGGAGAGAGAGAGACGGAGGATTGGGTTTTAATATGAGTCCGAATGCAGACAGATCGGTAATGGTGAAAGTTTATGAAGGACGTGCAAGCAAATGTGGAAATAAATCCAAAGTTGATTAATAATTTAATATTATTAACTATTTTATTACAATGTGAAAGGGACCCCTTAATGTTGGTTTATTGGTTGTCATATTACTCTCTAATTTGTGTCATTAATTAGCGCGTCCCTTCCACTCTCTCTTCACATTTCCCCTAATCCCTAACGTGACCATCTCTCCTTAATTAAATTCATCATATACTATTTCTTAAACAAGGCAAACTTTCTTGATTACTTTTATCCATAACTTTTTATTGTTTTTTAACTATGTGTAATTAATATCGTGTTATCTATAACCTTCACTTTTGGGAACCACGAATCTCTGGGTTTTAAATTGTAACCAATCCACGTAATTTTTTATTTATTTATTTTTATTTTTACGTATGAATTGTTTTATCTCGTCACTTGAAATATCATACGTGTCTATACAGTAGAACCTCGATAAATTAATAACCTCGATTAAATAATAGTTTCTCTCGATCACGACTCGGTGAAAACGTGTTAAATTATTAATTGGATAATTTAATAATTCACTAAAGTAATAGAATTCCCTAGTCCCGACTATATTAATTTATAGAGGTTTAACTATATATTAATTTAAAGGAATGTTATAATTTATAAATTATGTTTTTTTTTTAATAAATTAGAACCCACTCGAATTCATGAGTGTTGTAACATACAAAAATGATTTTTTGTTTTTAATTATCCAAAGCAATTCATTATTAAATAAATTCATCCGAAAAATGTCAATTGATTAGTTAATTTGTGAATACGGATTAAAATTCTTAACTACAAATCATTCTACTAAAAAAAGAGCCTTACTGAATATGACAAAAACAAAAAATATATATATTATTCTATATTAGAAAAGAAAAATATATCAACTTGTACGAACGTGTGACAACTTAGCCTATGTTCACTTGGGGGGCGGGGGACCATTTCAATTAATTCATATGATGCAATAATGGAGAAACAGTAATTAATCCATAATTAATTAATTTAAGACAGTGTCTTAATTAATTTCTTAATTGATGAGCTTGAATGGTTCTAATCTTTCTTTTGCCGTGTAATTTCATTCAGTTGCTCTCACATCCTATTAAATCAATCCTGTGATCCAATCCTGACCGTTCATCAACCGAAAAGTCAAATTAACTTGCTTTATTTATTATTATTAATTAATTACATGATAGGTTTGTGGTTATCTTGTCCGTATTCATGATCACGTCATCAATTATTGTTTAACAAGCATAAGCGTGTTTGGTGCCCTAAATATATCTAGCTTTTTAAATTAAAATCGCTCCTGTTATTTCATCTTTTAAAACCTTTTATTATTTCATACATTAATTCTAATATATTTATAAAAATAATTTAATTTGCACAGAGAAACTTGAAAATATGCATTGCACCACAATATATATATATATACATATACGTGATATGTAATGTAGCAGCACATGGTTGGGTGAGAACTGAGAAGTTAACATTAAATGCATAATCATGGACAATATTCCAGAATCTTTCTTGCGTTAATTAATTACTATAAATCGCCCTTTAATTAAGTTTAAATCATGCATAATCACTTCCTAGTTAAGGCACTGCTCGATCAGATCGTCAAATCTTACTCCGTTTATTTCACGATGTATATATATATATATATATATATTTTCCTATTAATTAATTTATTTATTTATTACGTCACTAACACTCTAGACGAGGTCTGCGTGAGCAGGGATGGATAATGGCATTTATATTAAAAATTAATTTTAATACCGTCTTTTAATATAATGTTTAGCCATTAAGCTTCTGTTTCTCTCTCACACAGACACACACTAAATATATTATAGTTTGCGTGAAGTGATTATAAATAATATATTTTTGTTGATTTTATATATATATGGAGGGATAATGATTTTATATTTAGTGGTCAAAAAAGGCATCTTCAATTGGTAGGTTCTTCACGACTAATAATTTATGTGTCTAATTAATTATTCAGTTATTTTGTTTTTTCTCATTGAGGAATTAAATTTTCATATAAAACGCCAAACTGTTGATGAATCCAAGAAGTGTGTTCGGAATTTAATGTACTGTAAAAAAAATATAAATGACACTTGAAGAACATGATTAATTGAATGCTTAGGTCAGCCCAAAATTGCTTTTTTTTTTATATATTTATTTAGAGAACACAACAAAAAAATTAAATAAATATTTATATATATATTTTTATTTATAATACCATAATTTAAAATTATGGTTATCTAAAATGTTGAAAACTTGGTTTAGTCCATAATTAATAATTATTTGAAGCAAGTTGGATCCTTGAATTCTAATAAACCCACTAAGTATGTAAAAGCCATCCGGGCCAACATAATGATCTATTACTTCGGGCCCACATAATGAGCTATTACTTCGGGCTCGTTAGAGATCAAAACTTCATAATATATATGGGCTGCCGGCCCATTAGTAGTGATACTTCTTTCTTGGGCAAATTACAGTCACCGCTGGGGTAAAGTCAAATAACGAAAAAATCCATCTTGTTTCGATAATTTCAACCATCCATTTTTGACTATGCATTGTCGTACACGTAAAACGTTGACTTTCACGGTGTCAAATTTACCTACTTAAGGAGGGGGTTTTTGCAAAACAATACATAAGTGAGGGTGGTGGTTACGTTGTAATTACTCAAATAGGAGAGGTTTTTTCCGCTATTTAACCTTATCTCATGGGTCTGGCCGTAATTTGCCCTTTCTTTTATAATATGGTTGATACACATGAATGTTAAAATTAGCTTATGTATTATATATAGACATGATATATCTTTGCTTAGAACTAACTGAAATATAAAAAAAAAAAAATTAAATAAATGAAAAACATATAATAAGTTGAGAATATATTAAACATTCTTGTTGATCTACTATTTTAAAATAGGCCACTTCCTCGTACTATTCCCACTTCAAAATGAAGGTGACCTAATAATTTATACAAGTAGTACCTTTACTTTATTTCCAGCACATATATAAAAATGAAGGAAATAAAATAAAATAATATAGTTTGTTGTATTTAGAAACGTGGAGACGTAGTCTGGGTTCTGATAACGTTGAGAATAGTCTGATTGAGGAATGGTGCATCGATACGATGATGATGATGATGATGATGACGAGGTTTGAGAATGGCTTCCATGGCAAACAAGTGATTGCAGGTGAACCTGGCTTCAACTACATCCAGGTTCATTTCTTCAAATACCTCCATTACTGACGTCATCATTTCTTCCCCTTTCTTGCATGCTATCCTCACCCCTAAATACCCCGCCGTCCCGGCAACCTTCTCCACTTTCACTTCCTGTATATTTAATTTCGATATTATTTTTTAATTTAGAGAGAGAGAGAGAGAGACAGAGAGAGTAGAGAGAGAGAGAGAGAGAGAGAAGTAATATATGTATGTATATACATATACATACCTGGATGTGATTAGTTAGGTATTGGTACTCTTTCTTGATTGCTTCAACTTGGAGCTTAAGATTGTAGATGTAGTGGTAAGCATCCATTATTATGGAGCTCTTCTTCACCTATTTAATTAACAAAATTATGCATGGTTAAATATTAAACATGGTATATATATAGAAGAACACATGCAAGAACATATATCAATATTATTAATTACTGATTTGGATTTGGTGAGAGTTCTCAGAATTTGAAGCTTTCTGCGCAATGCCACTCTCCTATGCATTATTTTACATGCCATCTCTCTCTCTCTCTCTCTCTCTAGCTTTTAGTGTGTGTGTGTGGAATGGTGATGGGTGCGTGGTTTTTATAGAGAATTGAAAAAGGTTGGGGGAATGATGATATTGATCAGTTTGGGGTCACGGAATGTCAAGATATAGATATACATGTATATATATATATTTACTGACATTCTTTTGTCTCATTCTCAAATTTAATTATTATGTGTAATAAATATAAAAAGCTCCATCATTATTAATTACTTATTAGTACAAATAATTTACTCCATAACGTATGTACGTACATACATATATTATAAAAAGTTGCATGCCTGTGATACTGCAGCACCTGCCTCTAATCAGTATATCTATATGACTGCGATCCATCATTCAGGTTAATAATACCCCAACCGAATATTTAAATAAAAATTAATTAATTAATAATGATAACCAAATGGTTTTAATTTATGAATTTATTTAATGATAAAAGAAAAGCAATCAAATAATAGATATAAATTCAACTAAATAATTAAATTTTAATTATTGATGTACTGTAAAAAAAGAAAAAAAGAAAGAAAAGAAAATCACGGGCGCACCACCTCCAAATAGGCAGTTGGCAGCTGCATCCATATATATGGTGTTGGTATTTCAAAATCTCTTTTGCCAGTCTCTGAATAATCACATGCAACCCTAATTCTGCACCACACCCCCCCGGCCCCTATCTGCTCCCACTCATCAAATTCAAATAGTACGTACACCATTAATTCATATATATATATATATATATATATATATATATATATATATATATATATATATATATATATATAAAAGAAAGAAACGTTGGGCAACCCTAAAAAACCCTAATGTTATTTTTTAAATTAATTATTTTTATAATTTTCTCTACTAATTTTCAACAATTATCAATCTCCTATTTCTCATCAATATATCTTAAATCTTAAGAGATAAAGATAGCAATTCGATTTGTTAAATCTAAATCTATATATTTGGATTATAAATTTTAATATTTATGATTTAAAAAAAAAACTAATGTTATATAAAATATGAATAATACTACATTATTAAATTTTACTATGTTCGTGGACTATATTTTCTTATTATTGATTAAATTGATTTTTTTTACTCTTGAAATAATATCCCGTGCATCGCACGGGGAAAAAATGCTAGTATATATATATATATATGAACTCTTTGAGAAAACTACCTCACTACTTTTTTTAATGGAGGGAGGCCCAAAATATTTTAGTCCATTTGAGAAAAGCCCACACCCATTTTTAGCCATTATGTTTTCCAGCTTTGCCCCCGTCCGCCACATCATCACTCGGTCACGCGCTCAGCGAATTTTTTTTTTCCATTTTTTTTCCGTCTTTTCTGTATCAGTTTCCTTAATCGACTATGAAGCATAGTCGATTAGCCTTAATCGACTATGCTTCATAGTCGATTAAGGAAATTATTTTTTTTTTTATTTTTTTTTTTGTTTTTTAAATTTTTTTATATCAAGTATATTAATCGATTATGATGTGAAACATAGTCGATTAAGAATCTGCTATTAAAAATAACAAATCACAACTGCGAAAAAAATACAAAATCAACTATATATTACAAAAATAAAATATATGCAAATATTATAAATGATTTATACAATTGAAAGCAACAAACAAAAAATCCAAAAAAATAGAAAAATTGGAGTCGATGAACCTTAATCGACTACCAGAGCATAGTAGATTAGCTTAATCGACTATGAACATGTACATAGTCGATTAAGGTTTCAGTGTGCGCGAAATTCTCTACACGCGCATTCATCCGTCCAAACCACCCAAAAACCCTAAAAATTTGCCTCCCCATCGTCACCACACCGCCGTCACAACACACCATCATCACCTTACTTTGATATTATGATGGTTTTTTTATTACTAATAAATAAATAAAATCACAACTCGCACCACCAACCAAAGCAGAACCACCACCCATCAAAATCCGATTTCGGTGACAAATCGACAATTTATGGCTTTTGTTAAGATCTGCCGACGACGACCTCGACCCCGACTTCGATGGCGACGGCGACGGAGACGGCACCGACAACAATGACTTCAACGGAATTAACATCGTTGTTCTGGTTGGTTCTTCATCTTCCGATCAAGAGAGAATAATCTAAAGAATTGAGAGAGAAAAGTATAATATAGAGAAAAAAAAAACAGAGAATAGACGGGAGAAGAAGAGACGGGAGAGAAGAGAAAATAAGATTAGGGTTTGAAAGAGTATAGTAGACAATTAAGGTAGTTTTGAAATTATGAAAATATCACTTGGGTGGAATATTAGCTAGGAATTTTCTCTAATTATTTTTTGGAGGGGATGTTTTCTTAACTTATTTACCTAGATGAGGAGGTTCTTGCTAATTATCTCATGTATATATTACTACAACAGAAATATTTACTATAAGATATAGCTACTTTCCTTATTAAGAAAATTAATTTTATGACATTTTAATTGTTAACTTTTTTTTGGTTTGTGTCCCAAATATATATATATATATATAGATTGAATAATATAATGAATATATAAATATATGTTTAATAATGAATTAATTTAATTTAATTTGGTTGTATTGGAAAAAGGAAACAATTAGAAGATGGGATGACAAGACCACTCACATCATATAATAATATATTGTTTCATCTTTATGGATCATATTCTTACAAATTTAAAGGCATGCCAAATAGCACAAACAGAAACATATTGGAATTTTGTAGCAGTAAACATTACCTCCTAAAATCACTTTGTCTTGTAATAAGCAAATCTTGCTGTTTAGTATATGTGACTGTGAGGTTTTTTTTTATAGAGTACATCACTTTTTGTCTGCTCCTTTTTTTAATATATCAATATAATGTTCCATAGCTCATCTCCCCATCCCTTTCCTTTGTCTCGTCTTCTTGACATCTCTCTCTCTCTCTCTCTCTCTCTCTCTCTCTCTCTCTCTCTCTCTCTCTCTCTCTCTCACACATCATGCATGGGCCCATATTTTCCATGCGTTATACCACTCAATCTATAGATACATATATATGGTGTATGGTTTTGTCTACATATTGATGGGCCTTTTAAACCTTTTGTAATTCGTCTATAGAATCTATAACTAGATATCACATGACCATATATACTAACTTCCCGTCCTGGAAATAAAGCGTTTAATTTGGATGTGAAATTATGGCAGCATGAGAAAATCGCCCGTTTGAGTAAAAATCCCAATTTTTAATAGGGTAAATTTACGAAAATCACCCTCGTGTTTGGGGTAATTACAATCACCTTGCGACTATGAATCTTCTTATACGTCCACTTTTACAGTGTCAAATTTAGTGGAATATTTTTATACGTCCACTTTTACATTGTCAAATTTAGTGGAATATCTCTCAAGTTTGTACTTGTTTTACCTCATTCGAGCTCCACATTTTGAAACAAGATATATGATCATAAAATGTGTCTCTTGATTTGTAAATATCATATTGTGGTCCATTTTTGTACAAAACGAGTACAAACTAGCTATAAAACAGGTCACGGAATCTAGAAAGTTCCGTTAAATTTGACATTATAAGAGTGAACATGTAAAAAGATTCATAGTTGATAGTGATTGTAATTACCCTAAGAGAATTTTTTTCATAAATCGACCTTACTTCAGGATTGGCCGTAATTTACCGTATTGTAAATAAGAAAATATTGAAATTTTGCACATTATTGATAATCTTATTTTTATATTTTTTTCTAAAGCTTCAAACGCCAATAGTTATTCTCAACTCGAGGAGTCAAATCGCATATATTTTCTTCTCTTCTGTCTCAGCTGTCAAAAAATATGGGACCCCTTTCTAGTTTACATGGTTCTTTTGTCTTACGAATCTTGACTATCAATTATATTCATTTTGTAAAAAAAATGGATATCAATTGAGTTGATTGAATCGGGTTTGGATTATAACCCGCATTTATCTGTGGGCCGGGTGCTAAGAAATAGATTGGATATTTTTCAAGCTTAAACCCAAAAGTAACTGGGCTGAAACATAACATCAATGTGTAATCCAATAGTATTGTATGTGGCGATGGCGGCCATCTGCGAGGAGAAATACGCATACAGTGCGACGATGAAGGATACGCCGTCTACGAGGTTTCCGAAAACTTTCACTGTAAGTTTTTTTCTGGCTGTAATTACTACACATTCAGCAATTTGAGATCATAGTACGCCGCCTAGGGCGATTTCACGATTGCATGTTGACGCTGTGTTAATTTTTTATTCTGTAGTAGAATGCACGCCATGTGTTTGATGAATGAGCTGTAGAACATTTTTTTCTTTCAAGCTTGACTCGTTTGATAATTCAATTGAATCGAATCGATCTAATTCATATTTTTCAATCCTCAGTTTGGCTTCATTGTTTAAACTTTTACATGTTTGACTGTTTGATTAGCTCCATTTGATTGAAGCTACTCCGCGGGCGCGTGTGTTTTGTATATTGACTGAACCACAGCCAACACTTGAGTAATTGAATGAAAAACTGAATGCATGGTATAATGCATGTGTCGTAATTTAAAGTCATTGAATTGAATTATAATGCATTTGCCATACATTTTCTACCGTAAAACCATTCGATCCGATTAATAAAAGAATATTAAAAAGGAGGACTTTTACCTAGTGGGATTTAGGAGCATGATTAATGATTAATGGGGAGATGTAGAATGGCAGGGCAATTCTCCTTTGGCAGAACTCGTTACATTTTGAAATGCAACGACATTTTATTCTGCCAGAGGAGAACTACGCTGTTATTCTTCTCCACTTCCTATACTGCTTTGCACCTCGGAGACTTCAGTTTTGACTCTGCCTCTCTCGAGCTTCGATGGTGGAGTTTTATGCTCAACTATTCGCACCCTAAATGGATATTCTCCTGTGAAGTGAATGGTATATGCCGTGGAACAATGCCTCTTAAGCAATTCTTTCACTTTTTCGTGTTGCAGTCATGGTCCCCGTTACCTTAGGTGTGTCCTTTATGTGTCATCAAGATAATGTTTTACTGCTGCGAATATCAAGAATAAAACCAAATTTATAGATGCCATTGTGATTAAAAGCTCGTAATAAGTTACCTACAATGTTGTTATTAAGGTTTTTTTGCATAATAATGTAGATGTCAGGACATTGCTTTTATGTTTTGTCATACGTAGATGTCAGGACATTGCTTTTATGATTTATGTATACAATGCAATATTTATGTCCATAAATTTCATGCATATGCCTAAAATATGTAGTAGCATGCATTAACCTTAAGATTGAGGCTTTAA